GGAGGGGGGCGTTTTCAGAGAACCAGCCCCCAGCCCGCACTCACCATTCGGCCGAATGTTAATGAAGGGGTAGTTGGGCATCACCAGCTTGTTGAAGTTGAACTTGTAGGTAAACCTTTTGCCTTTTGTCTTGTGGAGAATCCTCTTGTTGTAATAGTATCTGCGAACGAGAGTTAAGGAGATCGATCAAAGCAAGCGGGGATCTGTTTAAAGGTCTCGTTGCTTTTAGCGCCGTCAACATCCACCTCTGACGTACCGACAAAAATGACGCTGCCCAGAGAATTTCTGTCATTAATACAAGAAAATATGCAGTCGAGCGGGAAGTTTCCTAACGACACCCGCTCCTTTCCGAAGGCGTTCTTTAGCGGGTACGCTTCAAACCGTTTCACAGGTCATTGTGTTCCTTAGAACATGTGGGAAAAGGCGAGATCCCGAAGGGAAGTGAAAGCTGAACAACAGGCCAAGCCTGTACGTGCTGGCCTCACCCCTGTCCAAACTGGGACCAGTGCCACGGGTTGGGAGGGGGGGGGTCTCATGCAAGCATTCCGCGCTGCGCCGGCACCACCTCCCCATTGCCAACTGCCCCGCAGCCAGGGAAGCAGGCACGGTCGCTCCGCGGGGGCTGTGACTGCCGGCGGAACGCTACAGGACCCAGAACCGGAGAGGAAAATGCCGGTGAATCTGTGAGAGGGGAACATGTAGCCGGGCTGGGGCAGCACAAAACTCAGCGCAACGATGGAGCGGAGCAAAAAAGGGACCAAATCACCCAGCCAGCCTCAGATTCGGTTTTTATTCCTGCGATCCCCAAGGCCCAGGGCATCAGGCTGGAAATGGGGAGAGCTGGTTTCTGCCGCTCTCGTGCCTGTGAGCAAGCTGCATCCCTTCTAGTCTCTTTTAGTAGAGACAGCAGTGACAGGACGAGAGGTAATGGTTTTAAACTAAAACAGGGTAGGTTTAGGCTGGATATAAGGAAGAAATTCTTTACAATGAGGGAGGTGAAACGCTGGAACGGGTTGCCCAGAGAGGCGGTGGAGGCCCCATCCCTG